TGCGGTGTTTGGTTTTCTGTTCTTGCGATAGTTTGCTGAGAATGATGGTTTCCAGCTGCATCCATGTCCCTACAAAGGACACAAACTCATCCTTTTTTATGGCTGCATAATATTCCATGGTGTATATGTGCCACATTTTCTTAATCCAGTCTATCATTGATGGATATTTGGGTTGGTTCCAAGTCTTTGCTATTGTGAATAGTGCCACAATAAACATATGAGTGCATGTGTCTTTATAGCAAAATGATTTATAATCCTTTGGGTATATACCCAGTAATGGGATGACTGGGTCAAATGGTATTTCTAGTTCTAGATCCTTGAGGAATCGCCACACTATCTTCCACAATGGTTGAACTAGTTTATAGTCCCACCAACAGTGTAAAAGTGTTCCTATTTCTCCACATCCTCTCCAGCACCTGTTTTTAACTTCTTTCTTGGGCGTCTTTTCATACACTGGATTCTCTTGTGTGGCAGCATGAGCTTTCTTATACATCTCCTCCGTCATGTCTGGAGTTACATTGTTCTTTATGTATTGAGAGAACTGTTTCTTGTAAGCATCTTTATCTTCTTCCATTAAGTAACGCATGTAATCTGCAATATTCTGGCCCATGATGTGCTTCCAGTGTACTTCTGCATTAAATTCCTTGCTTTCAGAATCATCACCAGAGAATCATTTGGTACTATGAAGGATAGACAAGCCTCCATCCACAGCTCCCTTCAGGGTGCCAAAAACTTTATTGCCAGCGGAAGTTCTGGCAAGACCTGTGTCCAAATTGCAGTTAAAGGCACCTGGCTGACCATCAATGCTTTCCACATTGTATTCATCGCCAGTCTCCTCCACTTGGCCTTCATAGATCTTATCCATGCCAAACCTATTGAGAAGCCTGCAGGCCAGCACAATATGCTGCAGCATAATTTTTCAGGCCAACCTTCTCCCCATTATTTTGGCAGTTCGTTTGCATATGCTGTACAGATTATCATATCCCCCTTTATACAAGCAAAAGCAATCTGACGAATGATATCTCTGTTTGTTACATGAACTATCATCCTGTATTTGGGTGTGTGGTATTTGTTTTTATCCTATATCCCCAAGCATTTCCCAATATAGTCATCATTTTTACCCTCTCGTCGTCTTCTACATTTCACTTGTGTCTCTTAAAGTAGGCCTTATTCTTAACAATTTTAACAAACCCCATCCTGCAGAACAGAGACCTGCAGGACCAGCAGCACTAGCGGGGGGAAAAAGGCGAGACATTTTAAAAAATGTGTATCCTGGGGCCAGGCATGATGGCTCATGCCTATAATCCCAGCACTTTGAGAGGCAGAGGTAGGAGGATCGCTTGAGCTGAGGAGTTTGAGACCAGCCTGGACAACATGGTGAGATTTTGTCTCTACAAAAAAATTTAAAAATTAGCTGGCCATAGTGGCATGCACCTGTGGTCCCAGCTACTCAGGAGGCTGAAGTGGGACAATCACTTGAGTCCGGGAGGTAGAAGCTGCAGTGAGCTGTAATTATGCCATTGCACTCCAGCCTGGATGACAGAGTGAGACCCTATCTCAAAAAGAAAGGATATCAGAAAAGTTTGGGAACCGGTGGTAAACATCTTTAAGCAGTATGTCACATTAAAATATATATCCACACACTCAGTATGTTTTTCTTCAATCTTAAGATACATTTTCTACCAGATGCAGTGGTTCACGCCCATAATCCCAGCACTTTGGGAGGCTGAGGCAAGAGGATCGTCTGAGCTCAGGAGTTTGAGACCAGCCTGGGCAACGTAGTGAGACCTCATCTTTACTAGAAATCAAAAAAGTTGGCCTTGTGTGGTAGCCATCGCCTGTAGTGCCAGCTACTCGGGAGGCTAAGGTGAGAGAATTGCTTGAGCTCAGGAGATCAAGGCTGCAGTGAGCTGTGATCGCACCACCGTACTCCAGCCTGGGCAATTGAGCATGACCCTGTCTCAAAAAAAAAGATACATTTTCAAGTGAAGGACCTCTAAATTTTAGCCATGGATCCAATAGTTAATACATTGCACAGTGTCTATAAAAGTCTAGAATCAAGGGAAAATGGTGTATTTATTGTATTTTTTTCATACTTTCAGGCACTTGGTAGTAGGTCATTTGATCATGACGCCTTAAGAGGAAAGAAGAAATGGAGGAATAGTAACATGGATTTAGGGAGGAGTGGTAGTTACAGTGTAAGAGAGTGTTCAAGAAAACCTTCATTTAAAAAATGACATTTGTACTGTCTTGAAGGAGGTGAGGATGGGAGCATATAGTTATTTACAGGAAAAGCATTTCAGATAGAGGAACAGAAATTACAAAGAGCTTGAAAGAACATGTCTAATACGTTGGGTGAACTGAAAGGCCAGTGTGGCTGGAGCAAGGGGGCAGAGCAGGAGGAGATGAAGTGGGGAGGGACAGTGTGCTGATTGTGTGGGGCTAGTAAGCCATTGTAAGAATTTAGGGCTTTTACTCTTAGCAAAAGCTACAGCACAATTTTAAGCAAAGAAATGACAAGATCAGGCCTGTGTTTTAAAAAAGATTGCTCTGCCTTGTTGAGAGCAGGCTGTGAAGTGATGAGGGTGAGGCAGGAAGAGGGCAAGATACAAGTTAGGTGTCTACTGTGATAATCCAGGTGGAAAATGTTGATGATTTGGGTCAGGGCAGTTGTGGGAGAGATGTTAAGAATTGGTCAAATGCTGGATATATTTTAAAGGTAAAAACAAGATTTGCCGATACATCTCAAGAGACAGGAGCAAAAATAGTAGTACCCACAGCAAAAGATGATTGTACCTGCCAATCCTATGACTGGTATGGTTATTTTCATCCTCATCTCATGCTCATTTCCCCTACATATTGTCATTTAGGATAAACCCTGGAGGAAGGGCTTTTAGTGCCCTCATCCTTTTACCTAAATTGTATAAATCTATATAAAAATTATAATGGAAGTTTTTGGAATGATAGTATCTAATATACAGTACTTTGATTTACTAATGGCTTTCCTGGTAGATGTTGTTTCCTGTTTTCTCTCTCCGTCTCCTCCTTCCTCCCCAACCACGCTCTCACAACCATACCTCCACCCACACAATTTGCTTGTATATCCAGAAAAAGATGAAGAAAGAACCATGTATGTTAGTAATCCTTATCTCTGGTTGGTAGACTGTGGGTATTACATATTCTCTTTTTACATTCTCTTTTTAGGCTTTAAATGTAGAAAAAAATTTTAATTGTAAATATTTTAAAATAAAATAAATTTGGTTTTATCTAAAAAATAACAAATGCACCACACAAATACCCGGAATAGGTAAATCCATGGAGACAGAAAGCAGAGTGGTGGTTGCTGGGGTTTGGCGGAGCAAGAGGAGAATCCTGGGGAGTAACCACCCGGATTCAGTTTCCTTTTCAGGTAACGAAATGTTCTGTAACTAGATAGTGGTGATGGTTACACAGCATTGTGAGTGTACTAAATGCCACTGAATTATACGCTTCAGAATGTTCAAAGTGGTGAATTTTATGTTAAGTGTGTTTTACAACAGTTATAAAAGGAATACTTTGGAAAGTATAAAGTAGGGAAGGAAATTCCTTTGAGTGCTGCTGCCTAAAGTCTACTGTAGTCAACATTGTGAATTTATTAAGCACACTCAGCCATGTTTTTTAGGAATATTATTAGTTTCCTACAGCTGCTCTAGCAAAGTATCACAAACTGGCTGGCCCAAAACAGCAGAAATATTTTCGCTCACAGACCTGGAGGCCAAACATTTGAAATCCAAGTGTCTGCAGGCTTGGTTCTTCTGGAGTTTCTGAGGGAGGATCTGTTTCGTGTCTTTCTCTTTTCTTCTGGTAGTTGCCGGAAGTCCTTGCCTTGCAGCTGTATCACTCCCATCTCTGCCTTTTTCTTCACATAGAGTAGGGCCCGTTCTAATCCAGCATGAACTCATTTTAACTTAACTAGTTACATCTCAAAGATCCTGTTTCAAACAAGGTAACATTCTGAGGTTCTGGGTGAATGTAGGAGTTATCGGGGGACACTATTCAAACCAAGCATAATGTGTTTTGGATTTTTACATTGTTGTCCTTATGTTATAAAGTAAATTTTCTCTACTTTTATTTTTCTATTTCATAGGTGGCATAAGCATCATTTTAGTAGTTTGGTGTTTTGTGTGTGTGTGTGTGTGTGTGTGTGTTTGTTTTGTTTTGAGACAGGGTCTCACTTTGTTGCCCAGGCTGGAATGCAGTGGCATGATGACAGCTCTCTGAAGCCTCGAACTCCTGGGTTCAAGTGATCCTCCCACCTTAGCCTCCCAAGTAGCAGGGACTACAGGCAGTGCCACCACGCCTGGCTACTTTTTAAATTTTTTTCTAGAGACAAGGTCTAACGATGTTGCCCAGGCAGGTCTCAAACTTCTGGCCTCAAGTAATCCTCCCTTCTCGGCCTTTCAGAGTGTTGAGATTACATGGGTGAGCCATCATGCCCAGCCTAGTTTGGTATTTTATCAAGTGGCCAACTTACTGATTATTTAACACTGTTTATATTGTTATACATTTAAGGTGTTACTAATTGTTGCCTGATTGTGAATAACTGTTATTAATTTATGATAAATTTCTACAAGTGAAATTACTAGGAAACTTCTCGTTTCAACAGGAATAATCTGATCTCTAATTTTTTTCTTCATCCGTCTCATCCTGAGTACTGACTTGAATGCCTATTGATAGCATTACTTCTCCTCTATCTCTTGTGGTCTCTTAGAGTGAAACAATATCACACAGCTTTCATAGTATTACTTTAGATTAGACCTGTATAGTGTCTGAACTAGATCCTTTATGTGAATATTATCCCAGACTTTCATAGTTCGCTATCTTTTACTTCTAATTTAAATAGATCAGCATTCTGAGAGATTAATGATAATAAATACTACTTTATACGTTTGCAACAGAAATACTTGAATTACTTTAAATATGTATGTATACCTATGAGTATCTTTTTTTCTCTATTTTAGCACGGATGTGTTTCAGAGATTGGGCTCAAATTCAGCTCTGACTACATCAAATATAGCATCATTTGAAGAAGCTTTTATATATCTTCAAAAGTTAATGGCAGCTGTGAGGGATATTCTTGAAGGAATTCAAAGGTAAATACTTTATTAATTTTAAAGTGTTATTTACTTATTACTTTTCTCTTTCTCCTAGGCTTACCAACTTTTTCAGAGTTGCTAGGAGTCACCTAGCAAATTTTATAAACTAATGACTTTTAGATTCAACTATTTCTCCTCCTTCTACCAATAATCCCTATTTCTAGTTGAGATCACAAGAATGTTTCCACCTTTTCCCTCTCTAGAAAAAATATACCAGCTTGTAAACTTCATGAACTTTTTCATTATTGTGTAACTATAACTCCTAGAACAGGGCCTGTCATGTAATGGGCACTCCATAATTACTTATGGAATAAATATATTTTAAGGTAATTATCATTGCTCTTGAAAACAAATATGTTAATATTTTAATGCGATTTTTTTCTTTCAATATAGTTTTACAGAACTACAAACTGAAATAAGTTTGAAAAGCAACATAGTTGCTGGGCGTGGTGACTCACACCTGTAATCCCACCACTTTGGGAGGCTGAGGCGGGTGGATCACTTGAGGTCAGGAGTTTGAGACCAGCCTTGCCAACATAGTGAAACCCTGGCTTTCCTAAAAATACAAAAAATTAGCCGGGCGTTGTGGCAAACACCTATAGTCCTAGCTACTTGGGAGGCTGAGGCAGGAGAATCTCAAAAAAAAAAAAAAAAAAGGCAATATAGTCTTACGATGCTTTGAAAATTTATACACATGTGATTATTTAAAATATTTGTGATGCATATGGCAAATATAGTGCCAGAAAGCTATAGAATAGACCTTGGCACTTTATAGCATGAAATATAGCTTTCTTTTGTGGCACTAAAGGAGGATACTTCTAACCTTTGCAGTTTTATTATGTACCAAGATTGTTTCACCTAAATTAGATATACAGGTTGACAACACAAAAATACTGTTCTTCATAAATTAAAACAAAAACAAAACTGAGTTGATTTTGCTATGTTCAAGTTTGAGAAACTTGAATTTTCAGAAGTTTTTTTTTTTTCATTTCTCTTTAATGGTTTTTGGAAACTATTGTTAATATACAAGGCATTTTTGTCTTGTTAATCTAGAAGACATTTTTGCCTCTTTTTGGATCAGAGTTGGCCTAAATAATTCTTTTTTTTTTTTGAGACGGAGTCTCGCTCTGTTGCGGAGGCTGGAGTGCGGTGGCACGATCTCGGCTCACTGCAAGCTCCGCCTCCCAGGTTCACGCCATTCTCCTGCCTCAGCCTCCCGAGTAGCTGGGACTACAGGCGCCACCACCACGCCCGGGTAATTTTTTTTTTTTTTTGTATTTTTAGTAGAGACGGATTTCTTCGTGTTAGCCAGGATGGTCTCGATCTCCTGACCTCGTGATCCGCCCACCTCGGCCTCCCAAAGTGCTAGGATTACAGGCGTGAGCCACCGTGCCCGGCCGGCCTAAATACTTAAAATAAAAAGTTATCTAAACCTTCTGCCACCCTTAAGTTATTAATGAATTTAAAGTATGGCAGATCCTAATACAAGTTAAATGTTACCTCTGAATGCAACTAGTCCCTTTATAATTTAAAGCCTTGTTAAAATAAGAGTGGCTCTATAAGGGTGAACTATTCAGTTCTGATTTTAGCTATGTAAAAACTTTTGTCCACTCTAGATTGCATAAAAGCCATCTTTGACAGTGTATTTTCTACAGAAAGTAAGGCTATAAATCTGTATTTAATAAATCAGCAGATGTTCCTTGAGCACCTGCTATACTTGGTGTCATACTAGGCACTGGGGACCAAAGAGAAATAAGATGTGACCTCTGACTCCAAACAGCTGTAGAAATAATTCAATCATATTAAAACAGATCTTGCAATCAAAAGATATTAGTATTTTAATAGGGATATATATATATATAATATATATAATATATTATATATATATAAATATATATATAAAATATATATTTATGCAGTGGCGGGAGGAAGAGTTGGCAAAAGATGAGGCTGGATTGAGGTTGGAGGATCGTGTCTCAAGCCATGCAAAGCAGTTTCCATTTTATCTGATAGGCCAGTATTTCGGACATTCAGAGCTGTTAATTATGTGCCAGAAATGTTTCTGGTTCAAAAAACTTTGGAAATAGTGTGTACTATACCACCTTCTGGGGAAATCACTTGTATTATTAGCATATTAATGGCTTTGTAAACCTCTGCTGTAAGGAAATCTTTTTAATTTTAGGAACTTTAAAACATTGACGCCTGGATCCTCCACCCCAGAGATTCATATGTAATTAGTCTGGGGTGTGCCTGGCAATCAAGATTTAAAAAATTTCCCCAGGTAATTCATATGTGTCAGTAAGGTTGAGAACCTCTAGCCAATATGCTTATTTAGTGGTTCTCAAAGTGTAATCACAAGACCAGCATCGTCACCACATCTAACTTGTTAAAAGTGCAGATTTTCAGGCCCTCTCAGATTTATTCAGTCAGAAACTCTGGGCATGAGGCCTATAGGTCTGTATCCTCTAGGTGATTCTATTCAAGCTGAAGGCTGAGCATCACTGGCCCAAGTGATTCTCAGCCCTAGTGGCAGACTATAATCACCTGGGAGTTTAAAAAAATAACAGTGATCTTTTCAAAAAACCCAACTCCTGGATTCATTGAGTTTTTGAAGGGGTTCTCGTGTCTCTGTCTCCTTCAGTTCTGCTCTGATCTTAGGTATTTCTTGTCTTCTGCTAGCTGTTGAATTTGTTTGCTCTTGCATCTCTACCTCTTTTAATTGTAATGTTAGGGTGTCAATTTTAGATCTTTCCTACTTTCTCTTGTGGGCATTTAGTGCTATCAATTTCCCTCTCCACACTGCTTTAAATGTGTCACAGAGATTCTGGTATGTTGTGTCTTTGTTCTCATTGGTTTCAAAGAACATCTTTTTCTGCCTTCATTTCATTATTTACCCAGTAGTCATTCAGGAGCAAGTTGTTCAGTTTCCGTGTAGTTGTGCAGTTTTGAGTGAGTTTCTTAATCCTGAATTCTAATTTGATTGCACTGTGGTCTGAGAGACAGTTTGTTATGATTTCCATTCTTTTGCATTTGCTGAGGAGTGTTTTACTTCAAATTATGTGGTCAATTTTAAAATAAGTGCAGTGTGGTGCTGAGAAGAATGTATATTCTGTTGATTTGGGGTGGAGAGTTCTGTAGATGTCTATTAGGTCTGCTTGGTCCAGAGCTGAGTTCAGGTCCTGGATGTCCTTGTTAGTTTTCTGTCTCATTGGTCTGTCTAATATTGACAGTGGGGTAGTAAAGTTTCCCACTATTATTGTGTGGGAGTCTAAGTCTCTTTGTAGGTCTTTAAGAACTTGCTTTATGAATCTGGGTACTCCTGTATTGGATACATGTGTATTTAGGATAGTTAGCTCTTCTTATTGCATTGATTCCTTTAGCATTATGTAATGCCTTTCTTTGTCTTTTTTGATCTTTGTTTGTTTAAAGTCTGTTTTATCAGAGACTAGGATTCCAACCCCTGCTTTTTTTTTTTTTTTTTTTTTTTTTGCTTTCTATTTGCTTCACAATATTCCTCCATCCCTTTATTTTGAGCCTATGTGTGTCTCTGCAAATGAGATGGGTCTCCTGAATACAGCACACCAATGGGTCTTGATTCTTTATTCTGTTAGCCAGTCTGTGTCTTTTAATTGGGGAATTTAGCCCATTTACATTTAAAGTTAATATCGTTATGTGTGAATTTGATCCTGGCAGTATGATGCTAGCTGGTTTTCTTTGCCTGTTAGTTGACACAGTTTCTTCATAGCATCGATGGTCTTTACATACAATTTGTATGTTTTTGCAGTGGCTGGTACCAGTTGTTCCTTTCCATGTTTAGTGCTTCCTTCAGGAGCTCTTGTATGGCAGGCAACTAGCTAGACTAATAAGAAAAGAGAGAAGCATCAAAAAATGCAATAAAAAATGATAAAGGACATATCACCACCCATCCCACAGAAATACAAACTACCATCAGAGACTACTTGTAAACACCTTTATGCAAATAAACTAGAAAATCTAGAAGAAATGGATAAGTTTCTGGACACATATACCCTCCTAAGACTAAACCAGGAAGAGGTTGAATCCCTGAATAGACCACTAACAAGTTCTGAAATTGAGGCAGCAATTAATAGCCTACCAACTAAAAAAAGTCCAGGGCCAGATGGATTCACAGCCGAATTCTACCAGAGGTACAAAGAGGAGCTGGTACCATTCCTTCTGAAACTATTCTAAACAATAGAAAAAGAGGGAGTCCTCCCTAACACGTTTTATGAGGCCAGCATCATCCTGATACCAAAACCTGCCAGAGACACAACAAAAAAGAAAATTTCAGGCCAATATCCCTGATGAATATCAATGCAAAAATCCTAATAAAACAGTGGCACACCAAATCCAGCAGCACATCAAAAAGCTTATTCACCATGATCAAGCCGGCTTCATCCCTGAGATGCAAGGCTGGTTCAACATATGCAAATCAATCAATATAATCCATCACATAAATGTAACCAATGATAAAAATCACATGATTATCTCAATAGATGCAGAAAAGGCCTTCGACAACATTCAATAGCCCTTCTTGCTAAAAACTCTCAACGTAACTCAGTATTGATATAACGTATCTCAAAATAACAAGAGCTATTTATGACAAACCCACAGCCAGTATCATACTGAATGGGTAAAAACTGGAAGCATTCCCGGCACAAGACAAGGATGCCCTCTCTTACCACTCCTATTCAACATAGTATTGGAAGTTCTGGCCAGGGCAATCAGGCAAGAAAAAGAAATAAAGGGTATTCAAATAGGAAGAGAAGAGGTCAAATTGTCTCTGTTTACAGACGACATGATTGTATATTTAGAAAACCCCATTGTCGCCGGGCGCGGTGGCTCAAGTCTGTAATCCCAGCACTTTGGGAGGCTGAGACGGGTGGATCACGAGGTCAGGAGATCGAGACCATCCTGGCTAACATGGTGAAACCCCATCTCTACTAAAAAATACAAAAAAAAAGCTGGGCAAGGTGGCA